GGCCAAGGCACAGGTTGCCAATTCACGCTAAACTTTAACTACGCTTGTTCACTATCAATGAAAACAAGTCGTGCCCAGAGGTAATCTATTTTGGAATAGCAGAAAGCTTCAGTTTAATTATGAATTTTTATGTTTTTATATTTATTAACGTTTCAAGATTACATCATACACATAAAACGAGGAAAATAATGAAAATAATGATGAGAAACAAAAAGAACCATGATTTGTTACAAACAGGCTTTTAAAATTTATTGAGGATTGTGCGTCCCCTAAAAACTTTCCAATTATTTCTATTTTTATAAGTTTTGACGTTATAAAGCAAAGATATATTTTGGCACAGGAGAACATGAGCTCGTGTTCCAATGATGAAAGATATTTTGTGGCATTGAAGCGCCTATGACACGATTTTTTTTTGCGTTTTCTGGTCGATAGCTGTATCTTAAATTTGAAATAATCGACCTTAGCGCCTAGCAAGTTCTCCTTGAACATTTTTTTGCGCATTGAAAGAACGCGATTTGGCCAAAAATTGTCCACACTTTGCAGTGGCCAAAATGACTAGCAGCGACATAGAAAACTGCGAAGACACGCAGGAAACTATGGTGGAGAAAGTAGAAATATAGGAGAGGGGTCGAACGTATTGAGTGGCCGGAGCGGCAAATGGTGTTAGCTACAAGAATAGTACACATACACTGGATATTTCTGGACACTACTTTCCAAAATGAACGCGATTTGATCGTCGACATCAAGGAGATTTTACTCTTCAAAGTCGTCGGCCTTAAGCTCCGCTCCGGCATCGAAGACGACTGCTATGAACACATACCACTGGTCAAATCAGAGGAAATTCGCCAATGAATTCAGCTACAGTAAAGAAGAATGCTGATTAATGGGCCTGTTCCCACACCAGACACGATTGTTCGGCATTCTTTTTGGCTGAAATTTCGCAAGCGAAGAATGGTGAACTTCTTGTTGTTGTCTAATTCACGCCCTTGAGATGCACTCACACTCCTTTTCTTTCCTTGTATGAAAATCCCACGAATTGTAGTTTCCATAGTACTTTAACTGAATGACAGAAATACATCATTTGTAATTAAGGTGAAGCCCTTTCCTCAGCTGACCGATATCCCATCACCTGAACAACCTAGGTTTCCGAAAATCCACCTTACGAGCAATCAATTCCAATAAAATCACGGCAACGAGGAAAAATGTAAAACAAAAATTTTGATGTTTTAGATGGTAGCCGGAATTCAAATGCTGTGTGAAAATCGATGATGATGATGATTATGATGATAAACTTTATTCATGTGTCAATGTATTTAGCTGACGCTAAATGGGGACATAACGTAAATGAATAACCTAATTAATGATAAGAAATAAGCTATAGATTATATAACCTAAGAGGTACAAATTACGCACGCGGAGCAATTGTTACCATTTATCAGTTCGGTAACATCCTCACGCCTACTATGGAACTTAAACCTAGAAAGGCAGTTAATTTCAGATGCACGTGCAATTTTCATTTACAACGCTGATATCAGCGAAATGGGTAATGTGGCAATGCTGCACTGAGACTAAGGAAGTTTTCTTTTATTAATATCCCTATTTGAGACAAAATTGAATTAGACGAATGTAAACTCACTCCTTTTCCGTTTGACCAGTTCAACAACGACGATAGCCTCTGCTATTGCAATCTCGGACGAAAGGAGCAACTTGCAGTAAAACTGCCAGAGGACCTCTCGAAAAATCATCGTGCCTCGCGATGCAGCAGATTCTTTCGATGCCGCCGTCAAAAGTTACCTTTCGGTTTGCTGATGGAGTTATTTTGCAGCAACGAACTCTAGAGTACTGAATAAGGGGAACCTTCGCTGAAACGAACACAGCTACCCCTTTTTGATATAGATTTTGCAACAGAAAACAAAACACAGACGCAACGAACTAAACATTCAGTAATTGGAATTTTTTTCTGATCTTAACCTGAACATTGCAGTCGAGAAACCGTCTTTGTCAGTCTTCGTCGAAATCTTCGTTTAATGTGCGCGGTTCTCCTTCGTGAGGCTGAACCGTACTGTAAGATCTATCACAACGCTCGGTAGAGCTCGGTAGAGCTTGACAAAGATAGGTATATATCACTATCGGACATTATTATCCAACTGTGCTTTTCATTGTTTGTATTTTGACGAGCCCGTAGCGACAGGGCTCGTTAAATTACAGCACAACTCGTAAAAATACTCAGTGATACTACACAAAGAAACGTTTATAAGATACATTTATTTCAAGAGTATTTCAACGCTGACTGATACTCGATTACAAGAGACGTGAAAGATTTGCGTCAACTAAGAGTTTTCATAGATTTCTACGCCATCACCCGCTAACTCGTCACCAAGCGCTTTAGGGCTCGAAATAACTGTTCTTTTAATTTTTCCTCAATCGGAATTGGTTTGTACATATGATTAGCTGAATAAATACGAAAATAAGACTTCTTGTCGTTGGCATCTTGATCTAGTTTCAGTTCTCTGACACACATAATTAACTGTTGGTTATAATCATATTTTAACATAGTCCAGTTTTACTTAATTTTGTTTCTTCCATATGATTTTATTCGTACACAATAAATGAACAGTCTGATTAGAAGCAAGTGAGGGCTATATAAGATACTATGACGAGCTAAAACCTGTGCATTGAACGTTGTTGCGGTCGAATTCTGTCGATTCCCTCCAGATATCGACATTTACTCCTTCCTATAGCCATTTACTCCAATTGTTGATTGGTTATAATTTTGCCCAGTAAACATAGTTCACGCAAGGCAGCATATTTGGGTTGTGCATATAATTTATAAGGGAGAGAAGGCATAAAAATTCTTTTGATTGTTTTGTTTTTTAAAATAAAGATGCTCCGTACTGAATTAAAAAAAACCTTCTTTTGATTATTGTTTTTTTTTAACGTTGTTACGGTCGAGTTTGTCGATTCCTTCCAGCTACCGACGAATATTCCTCACTGAATTAAAAAAGAATCTTTTGACCGTTTTCTTTTTCAGAATAAAGATGCTCCGTATCTACGAATTGACGTTCACCAAGAGGGAAATTTTGGTGCAGGGAAGCTGCAGCAGTGTTAACTTCACAAAATTATTGTATCTGCAGATGATATCGATGATGGGATGAATAAACAAAACCCAGATCTACTGCTTTGCCTGTGAATGAATGCCGTTATATAACTTTGGCCAGTTTTTGATTTAAGAAATGGAGAATAAGACTTATGGTAAACTTGGTGTTAAAACGAATCATGGTCTCACTGTAGCTGGAACAATATGCACTTTGAGTTACGACAAAATTCTCTGAGCGAACCTAGGCTGATATTTCTGAATACTTCCCTATTAATTTACATTAACAGTTCGTGCTTCATTTTTTCCGGTAAATCTTACGAAGTTGATTCATCGCTCACTTACCTAAGATCTCTTGAAACCATTATAAAAAAAAATTGCGACAGCAGCAATAAGATGGAAAAAACAGAACAACAAACAAAGCAAAGAGAGCAAAATTAAAGCACAAATTAAAAAAAGAAAAACAAACAAAAACAGCACAAAACAGAAAAACAAAAACGCTTATTAAGCTTTTCGTTGCCACAGTCGTCCTTATTTCGTCATCTCCGTCCGTGCACACCCTAAACAACTCTTTACCATCCTATAAAGGTCTGCAAACTTCCCGCGCGATTTACTTCTCGATCATCGAGATGAAAACGCGCTTATGTATTACGAATTAGCAATCATTTTTGACTTTTTGATTCAAATGAATCAAATTGCACGCTCTTGAAAACGTTATTCGATGATTTGCTAAACTTGCACAAAAACTTGGGTTCCGTTTTTGACGACTTGCTGAGACAGTAAACTAAATGTGATTTTAAGGTATCATGGCAGGTGGAGTTGCCCTAAAAGACTGATAATATATTCTTCTCTCTTCGGAGTGAGAAGCCTGAGAAAAATGTTATCCAATCAAAGAAAGGATAGTAAAACTTCCCTCCTTTTTGAAATACAGACGAGAACCCTTTTTTTTTTTAATATCATTAATCATCACCTGGTTATTGACAAGTTCCTTAAAACGCTAATCAAATTACCGCCGCTATCACGTAATGTGGATTTCAGTGCATGTAATATAATTATCGGTCAAACAGTAGAGGGGTTTGAGGGTTAGAGGACTGTTCTACCTCAACAGAAAGCTGGAACGAACTCAGCAGAGACGTGGGTCAAACTCGTAAGAGAATGGGCGAAGCCTTTTCACTGAAAGATCAAATGAACGCTAAGTATAAAAGGCTACAGATATGGACGAAACCATATTTATAAATAGTAGTTATCCTGAGATAAAGATTAATCTCAAGTCTGTCAACCTTAACCATTAACAAGAAAGACTAGTCTACTCTTCTAAATCATGAATGGTTTTCGTGAGGGTATCGGATTAAATGCTTTTCTAAATACCTTTAGCTCACAATTGATCCTCTCGATGATCATATAATCAGGCATAATGTTAAAAACCGCTTGGAAAGTGAGTTTTCAGTAATAAATATGACACTTAGTGGGCGGCAATATATCATCCTAATTACCCTTTAACAAAGGTTACAATCATCTCGCTTATTGATGAAACAATGACACTTGCCAAGGTTATCTGTTTTGCCTGGAGTGGCTGCTAGGCGAAGTTTTGGTGGGTAAAAGCTCAGTAAAACATAAAGTTGTGCTGAAATAATAGCTTGTAATGCCCATTTTGTATTCAAATGACCATGGCAAGACTAAAAGAAGATATATGTCTTTGAGCTGGTTCAAGGTATCCTGTTCACAAACACCACAACGCATGCTTTGTGGTACTACCATGTAACCCTAGAGAACGAACTTGAACTTTTTTGTCGCTATTAACAGCCCTCTTCTTTGAGCTTTAATTATTTTGTATGCCTGGTTTGATAAATGACCCCCGCCCATGCGTACCTCTTGTTTTTTAATTTGTTCTAAAAGCTAGTTTTAAAGATAGCCGATCCTTCATTGTCATTTCTTACTCAGCTTCATCGGTTGAAAAAGGTAAGGGAGCATTATCTTTATTATATTTGACTCGATGAAAAATTATGCTAGATGCTTGGCTTTTACTCTAAATGGGCATAAGTTTAAATCTGCGCTTCCCTTTTTTTTTTTTTGTGATTCTCGAGTTGATCCGTTCCCTTAAAATGCCATAATACAAATTTAATTACAGCATGAAAGGTTATACTAGTCATTTGGCTTCTTAAAAGCTCGCATTTGTAGCTTTCTTTAAACTTTTTACTTACTCATATATCCAATCCTTTAAACTGTCACAGGCTTAACAAATTTATTAGAAGTATTCTTTTCTTGTGAGCCATGAAATGGTCATTATTTTGGAATACAAATTCTTAAATACGATGGAGCACTAATTTGCATTTCTCTAGAAATAAAGGAATATAATAGGCTTAACACTGTTCGAAAACGCACCCCTAAAATGTTAAGAGTGAAAGCGATTTAATCATCCACTTGAAATAAGATAGCATCAGGAACATTGAACGCTTTTTCAATTTTAACATGGTTTCCTGTCACACGAGCTGCATTAGCCAATCGTGAAATCAGGCTACTTTGTTTCAATTGAGAGAATTCATGGGCGCCTCAGCTTTAAATCTACGTATATAATGGTTCTTTGGCGTATTAATTTAGGTTGGAAAAAATAAATTGTGTCGTATAGTCTCACATGCTTGAATCTATTTCTTTTCCGTTTTGGGTCTTCAAATGAAGGACTGAAAGTTACAATATTTCAATCACTCTCTCTTGAAGAACGATAGTACGTATTTGAAACAGTTCTGATGTCAGCGTTAGGACTTTTTAAAATGAGAGACGTGCAATCTTACGATGGAGAGATGTAAGGCAAACTCGAACTGTAGAAACTGGTTCGGTGGCAAAACCCTGATCATTGCCAAAACTTCAGAAGTGTTAAATAATTTATCTCGTTAGTATTCAACAGCTATTCGTCTGATGCTTCCTCGATAGCATTACAGTTTATGGTTAACCAAGACTTATTAACCCTTCACGGTTTAAACAAAATTATCTCTCTATTAACAATACAAAGACTCAGGACATGATTCTTGGTTCTTCGACATATGAATATGAGATCCAAATTAATGGCATCAAAGTAGATGTTAAACCCACTTTGAAAATCTTGGGCGTCACCTTGGATAAACGGCTTACCTTTAAGGAGCATATCACTGAACAGCTTAAAGAAGTTTATGCAAAGAATGCTGCCTTCAAAAGAATTTCCCGATTCATATCGGTGAACACTATGATTTTATTATGTAAAGCATTCATTGTCCCACATTTAGAATATTGTAGCATATTATTTATTGGTCTTNCCCTATTTCTTACTGCAGATTATTTGATTGGAAGGGACGGTCATAAATCATAACTTGTAAAAGATTACGATTTTCATACTTTTTATCATATGCTATAACATATTTTCTAGTAATTAACACGTGCACGTTCTTGGGAGCTTTGTTGTAAGCTCTTTTGTGTTCAACGTGAATAAATAAACTTACTTACTTACTTACTTTGACATGGACTTCGCTTTTCTGGGCTAAGACTACAGGTTGTAACCAATGCCATATCTTTCACGTTTGGAATAATCGTTTCTTTTGAAACTCTCCGTCCTGATACTAATTATCATGTTTTGAACTTATATGCCTTACTAAACCATTTGATTTACCTTTGCATTCAGAAGTCCCCTTACGTTATTTCTCTAGATGAATTTTTTAAAAAAGTGTACGAGCATATTACTCGCTAATGTCGATATATTTGTTTCTTTTTACTTTCAGATTTTGAGCGATTACAGTATGGAAACTCTTTGGGTTTTGACTATTGCACTTTTCACCCTGTCCTTAGGTAAAACAATAGCAATTGTGCAAAGTTTCTGTGTTTACTGTTTTCCGGTATCGTAGAACTTTTTTCTAACATTTCATGCCCTTTATTTCCCTTTACAGAAATATCCTGGGCGAAAGGTATGTATGTGTTGCACTGTCCAATTGTTCTTTTTTAGCGTGTCGTTTGGTTGAATAGAGTCAGTTTTAGAAGAAGTCCCTGCTGGTAATTGCGAAAAACGTTTAGAGCCAAATTCAGTACGCCGGCCCGTCTTTATGCAGAGATCGTACACAGGGAGTTAAAAAAAAAATAGATATGAATAAAAGTCATAGACATTGCTCATCTGAACTGCTTTCCATTTTTCACGCTGACGTTTCATTTCACACGGAGCTGCGCTCGACAGTCTGCGAATTGTTCCTCTTGATACACATCTTCGAGAATAAAACAAAGTTTGATTGGCCATGCCACCTTTTAATTTTATTCGTAGCCGATTGTAGCAGGTGTCATTTTATTGCGCGCGTGCGCTCACCTTCTCATTTATTTATTTGAGGTCAAATTTACTAGATGAACACTTCAGGATTATTTTTCAAGGAAAGTGTTATATCGTGACCTTGTTTTGTTATACTTGTGTTACATTATATTAAGTTACGTCATGGTTGTGTTACGTGTACATGGATGCGCCTGCGCAGATATAGAACAGGAATAAAAGGATCTTGGAATGTTCATGTTCATTGCGGGTTTGGTTATAATTTCGTCCTTGAGTTTCCTAAGATACAACAGAAAGAAAGCAAAATTTTAAGTTGAAATATTTTCCTATTTGTTTGCTTACAAACTTACTATATTGATAGTCACTGTGAATCTTTTTGAAAGATACAATCAGGTTGGG